CATAAAAAAATCAATTGGCTTATAAAGGAGTGCCAATTAAATTCACAGGAGACCTCTCACAGGAAACACTACAGGTCAGAAGAGAATGGAGCTACATATTTCAGATTCTAAAAGCAAAACAATTGCTGGCCCAAGTTAACATATACCACAAAGCTTTCCTTTGTCTTTGAAAATGAAATAAGATTCTTCCACAGTAACGTTAAGTCAAAACAATATGCCTCTTCCAAACCTGCCCTACAATGGATACTTAAAGATGTTCTCTTGACGGAGAAGGGGAACAGCACGCACCAAAATCAAAGGCAAATGTGAAAAACATCCCAGTAAAATAACAACACAAGACTAAATCAATTAACAACCTATTGCTAAAATGACAGGACCAAATTACCACCCATTCATATTAATCCTAAATGTAAACGGCTTAAACTCATCAATCAAACATTATAGATTAGTAGATTGGAATAAAAAAAAAAACATCCATTTGTTGCCTACAGAAGACATATCTCACCAATAAAGATAAGTAGAAACTATATCTCACGGATTTTGATTTTTTTAAAATTTAGTGTCATCTCTTCAAAACACTTTCTCATTAAATTCTTCAGTGACTCATAGACCATATAGTAGCATCATTTTCTTCAAGAAGGTTTCTGATTTTTTTTTTCATTTCTTCAGTGACACATTAGTTATATAGTAGCATGTTATTTAACTTCTTTTCTTCCTGTTGTTGATTTTGAATTGTGGCTTTTCATTTAAGGGGATGTATAGTAACTGTGTAATGGAGACTATCATATACAGATTTTAGGGAAATCCCAAGGCTTATGGAACTGTATCATAAAATGATAATAATAGGGGCCAGGCGCACTGACCTAGTGGCTAAAACCCTTGCCTTGCATGCGCTGGAATCCCATTTGGCTACCTGTTCTACACCCAGCAGCCCCACTTCCCATCCAGCTCCATGTTGTGGACTGGGAAAGCAGTTGAGGGCAGCCCAAGCTTTGGGTTCCTACACCCATGTGGGAGACCCAGAAAAAGCTCTTGGCTTTGGATAGGCTCAACTGTGGCCATTGAATCCGGTTGGGGAGTGAATCATTCGAGGGAAGATCTTCCTCTGCTGGGGTCTGTGCTGTGGCTGTGGAAGACATGAAGGTGTGAAGAGTATTACTCCATTGTATCAGGGCTGCAAGGAATGTCCCGCTGCAGGGCAGGGCCCAACGGGATGTCTCTACAACCACCTGAAGGCGTTTCCACCTCCCTTTGCATGGACAGCCGGACAACTCCACTGAGATTTCTGTAATCTATTTAGCCATTGTCTGCCACTGCGAGTTGTTCTTTAACATCAATGTGAGCCTGGAAGTTGATGCTGCTGATAACATCTCAGCAAAAGCCCCTTTTACAATTCGTGCTGTCTCCTCTGTCTCTGCTGCCCCCATTGACAATCCTTGATCTTTAGTTTCCTCCTTCTGTGATGCCTTTCCTCCCTTAACTGATTCAAGATTAAGTTGTAGGATGAGGATTGTAGTAGCAATGTGTTACTGATTGATATGCACTGTCTATTGAGAACATCCTGACCACAGCGTAAGGATGGATAACATCCTGTTTTAAGGTGAAATAAACTGCAAAATTATCCTTGGAAGCACCCAGTTGACCATGACATAAAAAAACCTGTGCCAGAGCTTGGGACTGCTTCTGTATAAATACAGCAGATAGCTTTTTTGCATTGCCCATTATGATCCTGAATTGTAGTGGTCCATTTTGTTCCTCTTTCTGCCTCATCCACACACCCTTCTGAACTCAGCTGGAGCTGGATTTGGCATTCCTCTCTGTCTCTCCTCCTCTCCTATCTGACTCTGCAATAAAAAACAAATAAATCTTTAAAAAATGATAATGATAATTAAAAGAGCTTAAAAAAAAGAGGGTAAACACAGAAGATGGAAAACCTCTCACTTTACTCTGCCTTTCAAATAAATACATTCTTGAAAAAGGAAAAAAAATAAGGGTCTGTTTACTTATTTGAAAGCAGATTTATAGAGAGCTATGGACAAAGAGAAATTTTCCATCTGATGTTTCACTTCCCAGATGGCTGCCACAACAGGGGATGGGCCAAATCCAGGAGCCCAGAAGCTTCTTCCAGATATTCGAGGTGGGTACAAGAGCCCAAACACTTGAACTAGCTTCTGCTGCTTTCCCAGGCTCATTAGCAGGGAGCTGGAATGGAAGTGCAACATCCAGGACTCAAACTGATGCGCATATAGGGTGCTTTAGGCAGTAGCTTAACTGGCTATGCTACAGTGCCTGCCCTGCACATTTTTTTCCCATGTATCTGTTAGCCATTTGCATATCTTCTTTTCAGAAATGTTTAGTATTTTGCTCATTTTAACCTGAATTACTTATTTAGTATTGAGTTCCTTGGATTCTTCATCCAGTCCAATGATTGACCTCTTGACACATGTGTAATTTGCAAATATTTTTTCCCATTTAAAAAAAAGAAGACAGATAATACTATAGTCAGAATAACATCATGAAACATTTTATTAGCTATGAAATTCTGCATTTATCAAAGATATATACTATGGAAGTTTTACCATTCCTATATGTTCTATGTAATATTCTTCCTTAAGGCTCTTTAAAGAAATCTGCTTCTGGAGTTCAGTTCATAATATATTTTCTTCCTTCACAGCAAGCAGGTGAAGTTCTAAAACTATGACTGCCAGGGGCTTATCCTTCCCAGTAGGACTGTTTTGAATATAATATTTATAAGTCTTATATGCATCTCTAGTCACCTAGTGTAAGCAGTAAGACAGAGAGTAGCCTGTGCATGAGAAAGGAAAAAACAAATAGAGCAGTTAATGAGGAAAGGAACTTAGAGGTCTTGGAAACACAAAAGCAGTCTCATACAGGAGGGTTAGACATCTCACCTGACAGCTTTATGAATGTCTGGGGTCTGGCACATAGAAATCTTTCTCCCCAGTAAAAGAACATTTCAGGCCGAAGTCTCACAGCACAAAAAACTAAATAACACTCCAGGGGGGAGGTTGGGAGGAAGAAGGTTTACCATACATAGAAAATTCCGGTTTAGACCCAGACTGAGTTGCCCACTGCTTTGTCAAGGTGTACTCCGTCATTATATTTATCTAGCTTCCTAGGAACTTTATCTCACCTAAACCTTTTTCACATGATAAGGATTTCTGTTCTAAGTGCTCCTGTTGCCAGCAGTTGGCCTATGTCCCTGGGTGGCAATTCCAGTAGGTGTGAAGGCCTTGTTTGGCTCAGAGAAATTTTAGCCTCCTTTGATGAGGGAGCTACTAATTTCTTGAGTTTAAGGAAGAGGAGTGGATTTGGAAATACTAAGCCTCAACTTCCAGCCATACCCAAAACACTTCCACTTTCACTTCATTCTAAAATTGAGATGAGGTATAAGAAAATCCATTAATGTGTTTTTTTCCAGTGGTAATAGCCACTTAGTTATGACAGTGAAGCAAACTCAAGGAGACACATTGCTTACCCCCTGTGGAATACCAGTGCTTTGTACACTGTGAAAAGGAGCAGTGAAAGGAGAAATAGTAATGAAACTTCAGGAAATGCTTCACCTTACTCACTTTCACTGATCATTTCATTAGTCTTATTAAGAAATGCATGATTGTAGATAAACAAAACTAGCTAATTTCAGTTATTGGAGAAAAAATAGTCAAATGGCTGGCAGTATTATCCCTTCCATGTGAAATAACTTGTTTCCCAGATACCATATCTGTGAGAGGACTTTTGCCTTATGGCAGCAAGTATATTTCAGAGAGTTTGTGGAAATTTAAATTTTAAAGGTTCATTTGATGTAAAAACTTTGAAATTTGTTTATAGTTTTTGCGTAACATACATTTTCTGTAAGTTTATTTTAAAAACCCTGATGTGTTGAAATAAATTTTGAGGGGATACCAGCTCCACTTACCTTTCACGTTGTTTTATGTGCGGTTTTGCAAGTATGTGTATGTGTATATACCTTCTTAAAATAGACACACAAATGTGACACAATGTTGTATTGGAGCTGCTCCTGATCTCAGAGAAGCTTAAAAAGAAGAGGTAATATTTGAGTCTAGTCACGGGGAATGAGAACATTCAATATCCTGAGGTTGTATAGAGGATCTTAACAGGAAAGGGGCTGATTCGGAAATGAGGAATTGGAAAGAACGGGGCAGGGCAAGAGGCACATACAAGATATGAGGGCTTCTCCATCATTGCTAACGTGAGACTTCAGGCACTGGGGACAGGTAGTGTCTGAACTAATGATGACACAAATGGCTCTATTGAAAGGAGTTTTGAATTAGAATTTCGACTTTATTATGTAGTCACTACTTGATGTCAAGCTAAATAAAAAGGAGCTTGGACTCTGAAAAAATTCTGAAATGTCAGAAGACAGAGGAAAAGAAACTACACATGGAGAACATCAGGGGAAGTTCCCAGCAGGGGCCAGGCTGGAGCAGCGTTATTTCCCTCTTGCATCCTGATACAAGCAGGTGGAACAATGCAGCCTTCTTAAGGGTTCGACGCTGTTCCTGTCTCATGAAATTGCTCCACTGCCTGGTATAACCTGCAATTAAACCCTTCTTTGCTAACCCACTTTGGAAATTCCTACGGCATTTGCAAAACTTCTGATCAAGTTAGAAAATTATTCTGTGGTAATTTTCAAATGAAGTTACAATCTTTTAGAACTGGAGTCAATGAGATCATATCTTTAATTCTGTGGCTGCATTACTGCATATATTAACAAGATGATATTTCCTTAAAAGTATAAATCTGATGCTGAAACAGTTAACAGAAAGTACTAATAAACCAAGGTAAAATTGAGTTAGTATCATGTGGCAATCCTAAATTATTTTAGAATATTCAATTAACTTCTTATAAGAAAACGTTTTCATGTACGCCCCTGACAAACTTAGTGCTGGTTGGAACACTTTGGTGGTCTTTCCTGAGACCGGAAATGGCCAGGTGTAATGTGCAAGTCTCATTCATACCTGTGCTGTCTTCATACACCACGGTCACTGTTTTCCAGTTGTAATAAAGAACCAAATCCAGGATTGCCCTGCTGATAGCTGCATAATCTGGATAGAGGTTGATGTAAAACAAGTCTTTATTGTCCACCGAGGGATGCTTCCAACGGGTCTGTATGTGTGGAACTTCCAGAGCATTGCAAATGGACTGCACGGCACTGACGGAAGAACTATGGGATGGGCCAAACAGAGCAGCCACACCGAGAGCCAGTTGGTCACACGCTGATGACGTTCAAGGGTAAGCGGGGGCGGAGGGGGAGGGCAGGGCAGGGAGAGTGGGAGAGAAAGAGAGAATGCTATGAATTTGATTTTTCCTTTCATTAATTCCTTTTTTAATTTGACTATTGAAAAAAAAATCCATAGTCCCCATCAGTATGTTGAGCAAATTGATCCCATTCATCTGGGAATTGTCTTGAGATACTAAGCTACTGAGAGATGTAAATGTGGACCTGATTAGCAAGACATCATGGGGCCAACTTCCTGCAAATAAAAATGAGTTGCTAGTCTCACTTCATTACCTTTAATCAGATGAAGAATAAATCCCTGGCTTGATGAAGCATTTGGGGGGTGGGGCACTCTGAGCTATCCAATAAGCTGTTTCTCAAATGAATGTCCTGTGAATGAGTTTTGTTCTTGCATGGTAGGCTGTCAAGCAGAATATACGGTGTTCACACAAATCACAAGAAAGGCTCTCCATGTAACAAAGCTCTTTAGCTCCTGTCTTGAACATTAAGAAAGGAGTCACATTTTAAATCAAGGAAATTCTGCTAAGGCATGTAAATAAGTGTAAGGTGACACTGAATTTGTTACAAAATACTAAAGAAGCATAATTTAAAGCACTGTTAAAGGACATTTGGTCCATCCCATTTATTACACAGTGAGTAAGGAGAAGTCATGGTCACAGAGTTGAGACAAATCTCTGAAACACCAGCTCAAGGTCAGGTCTCTTTCTGCTTCAGCAATAGCCCAACAAGAATCAACATGAATTAAACAAATCATCGCATAAGATTTAAAAAGTCTACATCCTATCTAAAACATTTGGAATACATAAAGAACAATTCCATAATGAATCCTAAAATATTACTGGATATTACCTTAAGATGATGGAATCATCATAAAAATACTGCTTTATACCTTTTTTCCATTTAGCAATATAGTATGCTATTTTTCCATGTTATTACAAATTCCTCAGGAGTGTATTTTTAGTGTCTTCATGGGTATGCATACACTCATTTAATTAATTGCATAGTGTTATAAATGTAATATTTTCCTAATTTTATGCTATCATGTATAATATAGTCTGAGGGTACTACAAAAAGTTCATGGAAAAGATATGATTAAAAATGAAATGAGGGGCCCAGCACAATGGCTCAATAGATAAATCCTAGCCTTGTACACTCTGACACCCTATATATACGTTGGTTTCTGGTCCAGCTGCTGCAGTTCCCATCCATCTTCCTCCTTGTAGCCTAGGAAAGTGTAGAGGATGGCCCTAAACTATGGGACCCTGTACCCACATGGGAGACCCAGAGGAAACTCCTGGCTCCTAGCTCTGGGTTGCCTTCGTTCTGGCTATTGCTGCCACTTGGGAAGTGACCCAGTGGATAGATAATCTTTCTATTTGTCTCTCCTTCTCTCTGTAAATCTGCCTTTCCAGTAAAAATAAAATAAATCTCTTAAAGACGGAATGAAAAAGTGGCATTCTTCTCTTGTAAAACTTTGTGAATCCCTGCACAGCTTTTCATATTACACATTTTCCAAAAACATACATTGTCTTCATATATGTGCTGTTATTTCTACATTTTCGGCTAAGCAGATTATTTTCATAGATTAATTATCCAACGGTTGAATTACCAACTCTAATGAAAGATTCATTCATTTATTCGATTATTCATTTGTAAGGCTGAATTACAGCAAGGGGGAGGTAGAGGCAGAGAGAGATTTTCCAGGCACTGGTTCCTTTCCCAGATGGTTGCGACTATCAGTGCTTGGCTAGGATGAAGACAGGAGTCAGCATCTTCGCTCAGGGCTCTAATATGAGTGCAGGAGCCCAACAAGTTGGGCTATTCTTCACTGCTTTCCCCAGCTGCATTCGCAGGGAGCTGAATCAGAAGTGGAGCTGCCTAGACTGGAACTGGTGCACATATGCGAGGCTGGTGCTGAAGATAGTAGCTTTGCCTGCTGTACTGCAGGACCCACCCTGGGTATGGATATTTTAAAGTCATTTTATGTGTTAGCCAAATTATCTCCCAAAAGTTTGGGACACTTTATCTCATGTGGTCATACAGGATAGTGCTTATTAATTACATGCTTATAGGTATAAAGTATAAATTTAGGCATATTTTCAGACTTACACTTTAATTCCATTTTAAAGGAATATAGAACTGTCAAGAAAGCAATTGAGTGATTCTATTAGATAGTATGTAATTCATACATAAGACTATTGAATTTGTAGCAATGCAATCCTGCAAATAAACATAAGTACAAAAATGATATGGATCTACAAATTATGTGCCTTGATTTAGAAAGACTTTAATAAAATTTTAGAAATTATATTGCAGCATGTAAAGGAAAACAAATGTTGACAGCCATTGATAGGAAAAACTCTGTTACTGTGCTCTTCAGAACTGAATTATTACATAAGCTACAAAGATGTATTATTTTATGCTTCTACATTAACTGCTGTATGTGCACATTGTTATTTTCTTTAAAAGCTTATTTTCTAGATGTGTTTTTCACTCATTAAATGAAATGAGGGTATGTGAACTGTTGTTATATCTAGCATGAGCAAAAAATTGAGATTCCTGTTAATATTTAGCTCTGGGATGCTACTATTACTTGACAGAAAATCAATCTGCTTGATTTTTGTTTGCCAGCAAATAACTGGTTTTAAGAAGCTTTGGGGGTGTTTAATTTACAAGAATGGCAAGTACTACAGATCACAAAGAATCAATTTTCATGTGGGATTTGACATATCAATGCTATATATAGTTGACTTTCTATAGTATTTATTCTTCAACAATGTGTACGTGCGTGCATGTGAGAGAGACAGAGAAGGCAAGAGAGACAACGCTTGTAGAGATGCCTAAACCTTAAAGGGCTGTGTAAGAATTACAATGCTCTTCACACACAGCAATACTGTGTATGATACATCCAACTCTACCAAAGGAAGCCATTTTACACTAAAGTGATGTCATAGAGAACTAGCAGGATACTCTTAGATTCTTTTCTGCACCCCTAAGATGTGTTATATTTTGCTTGTAAATAACAGAATTTTTGCATATGAATATAGTGGGTGAGTAAATCCTATTATTTATCTAGGTTAATATGCTGTGGAAATCAGCATTCCACTTCTGCATGTGTTCCTGACGGGGAAGGCATTTCTTTATGAGATAGCACACTTCTCTTGTTCTGGGGAAATGAGCATCCTTTATTTGCACACAACATCTTCATCAGACCACCTTCTAGTGCCTTACTATTAGCCAAAATTTAAAGTATTTCATATATTATCTTGTCTGAAGGAGATACAAGTGGTCAAGGGGTGTCTCGACAAGCCGCACAATTCTACACAAAGAGAACTTGAAGTAAATTCATGAACTAGATTTCCTTTTTTTATGGGCCTTTGTCTTTGGTTCAGAAGACAAAGAATCAAACATAGATATTGTTCTCGTGAGTTTAATCATCATATTTCAGTTATTTCATCGAAAGGAGTAGAACCTACTAACACTCAAGGTGTGAGTTATATGTGTCCTGGCCATTTCTGCAAGCCTGACAGATGTGACCTTCCACAAAGTTTTATTTGACTGCATTGTACAATTTCATGGTAGTATCTCAGGTTCAGAAAGGAAAAGCAGATCAAGCTTGACATTTTCCATTCACAGCTGAACCAGTTAATCATAGAGTGTAGGGTACTGAAGCATAAGCTAATCTGCAAGGGCTAGAAAACACCCATTACACTAGTTCAGATTGCTTTGAACAACGACATAGAGGACCAAGAGTGTTTTGTGACCCACTTGCACAAAGATGTCCATTTTGAGAAAGGGCATATAGTGCAAAGAAGGTTACTTGTAAAGACAGACGCATCGTCTAAAGAAGCTTCTAAAAGTGGGGAAAATATTTACCTCTCCGTGAGGCTTCAAAGCTATCAAAAAGGTTAATTCTTTGGATGTCGTAGGTTAATGTGATGTTAGGCATCAGGGTCCGGTTTCTGTTAATGCTGGTGACTGCGAACTTGAAAGCTAATTCTTCAACATTAACAGGTTCATTTTCCACAGTTTCAAAAATCCCTCCTGCAGAAGCAAAAGAGATTCATGAGAAGCATTAGTCAGATGACCGGAGAATTAATTTTTTTTTTCAAAAATGAACATAAAGAATACGAATGAAAGACCCAAAATGGTAAAGGAAGGAATAGGGCAGACCCCAAGCCCACTATTATAAGTTCAGTTTATCAGCAGGTGTCATATGAAGATAAATAGGCTATCTGCACAGAAAGGCAAAGATTTTAAGCCCAGTGCTGGAGTATATAATCCATACCAGATGGAAATGTATTCCAAATGTTTGATATCATGAGTATATATCAGATCATACCATGGGGAGTGATTTTCATGGTTTTGACAAGGATCCCACTGTACTTCATCTAAACATAATTTGAACTATATCCTAACAACATCATTATTTTTTTTTAATGAAGATCTCCTTTTATAAGAAAAAAAATTAGAAATGGACATTCTACGTTAAACGGGTCATGCAGATGGCGGAGAGGGATCAAACTGGCTCAGAAGTTTGGGGTGGGTGTGTATTCTATCATTTCGCAAAGCACACAGGAAAATTCAAAGAGCTGTTTTATCCCCTGCCTCAGCCACACTGTTCCTTTCTTCTTTCTTTTGCTCCTCCCATTCTTCCCCACACCCCGAAGATTGTTTCTACCTAAAAGCAAAGGTGCATTGCATCCTTGAAGAAACATGTTCCTCCACTGAGAAATACATAAGCACTCTACCAGTTGAAACTCGAGGAGCATGCTACAAACTGTTATATGAAATATCAAGGGCTAAAGGCATGTCAGAGAATTTAGCTGTGACTTTGCTTCAGATGTTGGTGTTTTTCAAGGCCTGCCTGAGAATGCCAACAGGCGTAGGGCACAGGTCGAAGTTGTCTTGACAGATCTCCACTTAACTTACTCCTTTACTAGCCAATATTTCACATTTCCTTTGGAAGCCCATATTAAGTGACACCGATATAGTAACAAATACTTAATAACTAGCAGTTTACTGTTTATGTGCTTTATAATTGAACCATGCCTTATCATACATCAGTTGTAATTTTTTTTTCCTAAGCTTGTCCATGCTACAATATATTATAAGGGTTTTAAGCTCTCTTTCTACACAAAGAAATTTAAAAAAAATAGAGAGAATGAGAAATCTGAAATGAAACCCACAAATAAGAAACATGCATAAATAGCACTTATATGTATGTGTGCATATGTACATATTATTTTTTAGAAAGAATTGCAATCAATGAGCTCTAATTCAAAGAAATTACCCTGATCTCACTTTGAAAGAAGTGAATAGCAAACAAACATATGTGTAATTTTCTTGGTAATCTGACAGTTTTTCTTTTTGTAAACTTGGTTAGCTACAAAATCTAGGTGTGAAAATTCGGACAGATTAATCTGACTTAAACTGGCCCCGTTTGAAAGTGTTTTCGGCTTTTTCTAGTTGATAACATGAAAGTCTTTGATGTGTCAATCCTGTTTTGTTTTCTGTGGGACTTTCGCTGACACCTGTATGATGATTTTATGTAGAGCTTTAGGATTTTATGCTAACCTTTATCTAAGAAGCCACAGAAGGCATTTATTTGGTCATAGGTGTTAGGGAAAAAAAATCTACTCATCATTTGAGTTTTTCTTGGGGGGATGATAACTGGAGGTTTTAGAGGTGGATTTTTAGTTTCTGTCAGCACTGTTAGTGGATACTGGACATGAAAAAGTGACGTAATAAAGCTCACACAATGCACACTTGATCACAAGCAGTTTACCGCCACAGCCAAGTTGGCCCACATGGGGTGTTTCCTCAGTGACTGTTAGCAGGTTCTTGCTGGTCTGGCTTCTAGACACACAAGGAAAGTCATCAAGCAGAAACTTTTCTTTGTTTTTGTTTTTGTCCCCTGTGTTTCTCCATCTTTCTTTATTTCAGAGGAAGTCAGATTTCAACAAGAGACAGTCACGATTTAAGTGTGTCTAAAGGTGATAGAGACCATGGAATTTTTATCAGGGACTAAAATAATACTTCAAAACATCTCTTTAAAAAGATCAATTTATTTGTTTGAAACGCAGCGTTACAGAGAGAGAGGGAGATACACAGAGAAAAAAAAACTTCTGTTAGGCTACTCTTCAAATGGTCTCAACATCCAGGGCTAGACAGGATAAACACCAGGAGGCAGGAGCTTCATTTCTGTCTTCCTCATGGTTAGGGTCCAGAGACCTGCAGAAGTTTCTACTGCTTTCTCAAGCACATTAGCAGGAGCTTGATCAGACCTAGAGCAGCCTGGGCTGAACAGGCAGCCGTAAAGTGTACAGGCAGCAGCCTAATCCATTATGCCACGATGTTGGCCACCTAAAGCTTCTAATGCATATAAAACATGCAAAATATGTTATTTCTTTTGCTTACTGCTCAGAAGAACTAATTTGAATGGAGCAATATATAAGGACTCTTTTTCCCCCTTTTAAAGAAATTTTCTTTTTCGTGTAAAGTGTATTTAAAACATGAAAACTGAGACCATCCAGGCCTGCTGAAGTCTTGGCCACACCTTCTGGTGGGTGGCACAAACATGGCCCACCCATTTCCTAATTGATTAAAAGATCACCAAGGGGAACAGTTTATCTGTAGGTTCCCGCCCAACAAGAAGGATCAGGAAATGCTTTAAATCCCAAGACCCTTCCACAAACCTTTGGTGTCTCTCCCCTCCCTCTCAAGAGGAACCCTGCTTCCTGGCCTTCTCTCAGGAGGTGCTTCCCCTTCCCTGCCATTCTGGTCTCTTCGCAAATAAACTTTTATGTCTGCAACAGGTTCCTGGATATTTATTTCTATACTAAGCTGAGGAAAGAACCCAACGTGCTCTTCTGGTAACAAAAACCACAGATACACGTTGGTCATACTGAGGGATAGAGTGGGCAGAATTGTGAAAGTTTGGAGAGAGAGAGATGTTTCTACTTTCAGGTTTCATCTGAGGGAAGAAAGAGACTCCCCCCACGACATGCCTCACAAGGAATCTGGCTTGTTATGAACCTAGAAAGGGGAGTGGTTATTGTTGCATGTTCTGTAGTTACTTCCTGCCGATTAGGGGTGTAGGCCTTGCATGTCACCTTTAATGGGTCCATCTAATGAGCTGCAGATTTCCAGCCGATGACAATGGTCCCGTTCCCCAAATCGTCATTGCACCAGTTACTATCATTACAGAGAGTAAGCATCTTAACACACTCAGGATACAGCTTTTTTAAAAATTGCCTTGGATATGATCACCATCAATCTGAATAAAAGCAGGTTGGCAAGAAGGAACTGACAACTGAATCAAGAACAGAAGCTCTGGATTTATGAACTTGTTACACTTGATGCTCTCACAGGAAGATTTTGTTTTTAAAAATTTGCTTATCAGAAAGAAAACAACATGAAAGAGAAGTATGGAGAGAGAGAGAGAGAATGCTTCTTCTGCTGGTTCTCTCCTTAAATGCCTATTACAGCAAGCCAAAGTAAGAGCATGGATGCCATCTGGCATCCCAGGTGGATAGCATAATCCTAAGTACTTGAGCCATCATTGGTTGCTAGTCAGAGTGTGTTATCAGGAAGAAGGATCAGATGTGGAGGAAGAAGTAGACAGCATCTACTTTGCTGCTGAAAACACTGGTGTCCATATTAGAATCCCAGTGTGAGTCCCAGCTCTCCCATTTCTGATTGAGCCTTTGGATAACATGCTTGGTGAGACAGTGGCAAGTGGACTGAGTTATCAAACTAGAGATCTGCATGGAGTTTCTGACTCTTCAACCTGAAAAATAAACCAGAAAATCAAAGGGTTTTTTTTTTGTCTCCCACTTTCTCATTCACTCTCTTTCTCTCAAGTAAGTAAATTTGATATTAAAAAATGGAAGTGGAGTAGGGAGGATTCACGTAAGAAATTCTGATATGGGGTGTGGACATCTCAAATAGCAGCTTCTCATTCTTTTTTATGTTTTTAAGACACATTTTATTTTATTATTTTTATGCAAAGTCAGATATATTTTATTTTTATTGGAAAGTCAGATATACGGAGAGGAGGAGAGACAGAGAGAAAGATCTTCTGTCCCATGATTCACTCTCCAAGCAAACGCAATGGCCAGTGCTGAGCAGATTCAAAGCCAGGAGCCAGGAACTTCCTCTAGGTCTCCCATGTGGGTTCAGGGTTCCATGATTTTGGGCCATCCTCAACTGCTTTCTTAGGCCACAAGCAGGGAGTTGGATGGGAAGTGGAGGCTGCTGGGATTAGAACCAGCACCCATATGGGATCCTGGCGCATTCAAAGTGAAGACTTTAGCCGCTAGGCCATTGCACTGCACTGCAGCTTTTCATTCTTAACTTTGGTAACAATACAGAGAAAGAGAGATTGTTTCCTGTTTCTTATAAGTAAAAAATAAAAACTAAGTTGGAGGAATCATAATTCCAGACATCAAGACAGACTGCAGAGCAGTATTCATTAAAACAGTCTGGGACTGGTACATAAAGAAAGAAGATCAATGGAACAGAATGGAGCCCACGTACGTACAGCCAACTAATCTTTGATAACAAAACTGACAATCTGTGATAGCAGCCCAAGTAGGTAGGAAGCAAGACCTCCCACCTGTCACCTTATATAAACACCAGCTCTAACTGGATCAACAGCCTAAATCTGCACCCAGAAACCACCCAACCGTTAGAGGCAAATATAGGAAGCTCTCTCCAAGATACAGGAATTTAAAAAGATATCTTAGAAAAGTCACTAAAAACATAGCTAGTGAAAGCCAAATTAAAAAATTGGGACTTCATCAAAGTAAAAAGCTTCTGTACAGCAAAGGAAATTATCAATAAAGTGAAGAAGTAGCCAATAGAATGGGAGAAAACATTTGCATACAACACAACCTATAGGGGACAACTACTCAGGACTTAGGAATAACTTTAGAACCTCAAGAACAACAAAACAAATAACCCTATGAAGAAATGGGTTTCTTTTCAAAAGAATAAGTTCATATGGATGATACACAAATGATAAAATCTCAGATTCCCTA